GGCCCGACCAGCAGGTCCCATGTCTCACGGTCCTCCCCAGTTGTCAGTGACTGGAGGGTGCCCCAGTGCGCCGAGAGGACCCGTGAGCCCATCCCAGGCACCGGCTCCAGGTGCAGCCATCAGCCCATCATTTGTGGCCTTGCTGAGCTGACCTGGGTGACTCTAGAGAAGGGCTGAGAAATTTCATACCGTAAACGGCATCAGAATGGTTCTTTGGATGCATTCTCATTGTTTTTAAATCGTGATGGTTTTTTGCCACCGTTGTTTCAGCTGTTCTTTCTGTGTCTGTTTTATAGCAATTGCCACCACACGTGCGTGTCTGGGATTCTGTGACTCTGAACACGCTGCATGTCATCGGAATGGGGTTTTTTGACCGAGCTGTCACTTGCATTGCTTTTTCTAAATCTGTAAGTAAAGTAAATGAATAGTCATGTTAAGAATGTTTGCTGAACAGGTCTTTGAAGTCTTTCAAATTGAACTTCCTTGACCAAAAGAAACTTCTAAGCTGCCTTTTCTCTCAGCTTCCTCTTTAGAGGAGGAAAGCTCGCAACCCAGTTGTTTCCAACAGTTTATGTTGCTATCAAAGTTAGCAGCAACTCAGCAGTCTCAGAGAGCTACCTTATGCTTAAAAGAAAATGCAGTTAATTTCTTCAGGGGCAATCAGTTGCAGAAGTACTTGTGTTTTTGAAATTTCAGTATCCTTACTTCTTCTCTTTAATCATCTGATTGTGTTTCTCCCTACATACAAAAGTTACTCTCTCCACATCTTTTAACCCCCTACACTGTGCCTAAGAGTGACTGATGAAAGACCTTTGCAGTGGCCTGTACCTCTGATTTGGGATTTAAAAAATGGGAGCTCCCATAGGAAAAGCAAAATCTTTTGCCTGAAAGCAGCAAAGGCATGTGAATAAAGAATTGCAAAGAATTAGAATCCTGTTGTTAGCCTCTTGGCACCATCCTTTGAACTCTAGTCTACCAGGGAGGTAAAAAAAGATGAAGCACTGAAGTCCTGCATGAAAACATGAGTCTGTAATCTCACACACACAAGTGTAGAAAACCTCCGTGCAGAACAGAGTCCGTAAGCAGTGTATCTGGTGGTGTCTGGTTGTCTCAACAGTGTTTTTAAAAAGGAGAGGGCTAATGGTGTATTCCCTAGGAAAAATGTACTTCAGTGAATCTTTCCACAAACACATGAAATCTGTTGATGACAATATTTTATAGAAAGCAGAAAAGAGAGGAGTGAATCTGGAGAGCTGGTTAAGAACATAAAGGTGAAAGCTAATGCAGTTCAAGATCAGCTTTGAAGGATAAATAGAAAAGAATAGCAAGCAAATGCTCTGTAAGTATGTCCCTGGAGGAAGAAATAGGTACTTAATAATGAAGGGTCGCTGTTGGCAGATGCCAGGAGAAAACAAATGTTTAGTGTGTTTGCTTTATACTGTGATTTCACAGTCAGCTTGGCCTGCTTTGAGCATCGCTGCCTGTCCCGTAGCAGCACCGCTTATCTCCTTTTGGACAGCCCCCTCTTCAGGCTACTCAGCCCTGTCTCTGCCCCACCTCTTGCGTTCCGCTGGCACAGTTATTTTTGTAGCTGTGTCTGAGATGTGTATTAGAGGCTTGATTCATCAGGAAAACATCGAAGCAACCTTGTATATAAACAAAACAAAGCAGAGTTTGCTTGGGCTTCTTTTCCTCCCCAGAACTGATCTGTTCCCCGAACAGGCTCACTCTGTGATAGCCCAGACTTTAGTGGTGGCTCAGCTCAGGAGACAGCAACAAGCAGTTGTGCAGCAGGTGGCAGAGGGAGGACTGTTTGTGTCAGCGTTGCTGCCAAAGGAGTGCTTGTGTGACCACAGGCTCGGTCTGTTCCAGCAAGCTGGTCTCCAGTCAAGGCTAACATAGCTGATGCCAGGAGCAGCAGGATGCAAAAAGCATATTTGAATGGGTTGGAAAGCAATTAGACATTACTGGGTGGTTTATTCCACTGTAGGCACACAGCTAGGAATGAACACCAAAGAAATTGGGAAAGATGGTCCAAGAAGTACCTTCCAAATAGATGCTTTCCTCTCTGGAAAAAGATCTGATGATTGTACGGCAGTTCCCGTCACCAATGAGACCAATGTCAGTCAGCTCCCATCAGTTCAGGTGGAGTCTCAGCTGGAGTTCCTCATCCAGTCTTTGGGTTCACACATCAGAAAAATGGCTACCAACTGGAGAGGGTCTAGGAAATATGATGCATGAAGAAAGACTAAAGGTATTTGGGTCATGAAGATTAGAAAGACTGATTGAAGACAAAACTATGAAAAAGATACCTGTCAGGAACAAGGTATTTTCTAATTTCTAACTATGTTCCCTCATTTTGATCCATTATTCCTATATAAAGAGTAAAATTGTTCCCTGTATCCATAGCAGATCTGAGAAGAAGTAATTGGTTTAAATTGCGAAAAAAGAAACTCGGTAGAGTAATTAAGAAAAGCTTTCTTAGTAGAATAGCTAGTGATGTGTAGTTTGCCTTTGGTATTTCCATCACTGAACGTCTGAAAAGAGATACCTACCTCATTCCTGACAAAGTCTGTTTGTCTACAGTTTGCAAGAGTTCCTCTTCTAGAGCCCTTTTTAGCCCTATTTTTGAATGACCCTATAAATTATTATGTTTTGTGGAGATTATGGGATAACTAAAAGTATAACAGTTAAAGTGTAAATATGTGTAAATATTTTCACTTACACAGCAGTATTTAATTATTTTGAATGTGTATGTATATTTCTTGTGTTGGTTGGGTGATGCATTAATATTTTCCATGTTTTGCTTCAGAATGGAGGAAGTAGCCTGTGCTCCGTGGATGACTCAAACGACCACGTGCTTTCTGTGTGGGACTGGCAGAAAGAAGAAAAGCTGGCAGATGTCAAGGTGTTGCAATAAGATATTTTGTACTACTTGCTTGTATGTAGATCTGGATTTCTTGTCATAAAACATCTTTTTATGTTTAACTTCCTGTGTCTTTTTAACACTTTCACTTTATAAAAGACAAAGAACATGAAGAAAGGGAGTATTCTCTTTCTGTTGAGATTATCCCAATAGAATTGATCAGAAAAGTCGAGGAAGCAAGAATAGGAGCACGTGCAGAAACAAAATGTCTTAAACTGATCTTTTGTGTAGAACTTCTCATTATCTGACATGGTTTTGAAGGATAACTTTTGGTACTAAGTTATAAGAATGTGGAATTTTTTAACTTCAAAGTATTCTACCAAAGTACTGAAGACTATGTTAATAAATGAATAGCTCAAAATTTTTCTTATGCCAGAAGTATCAGTTTATCTAACTAGAGAGCTATTTCATATTGTTTTGTTTTCTTTGATTTTAAAATTTTGATACATTGTTTTTCTTTTTCCTTCCAAGTGCTCTAATGAGGCTGTATTTGCTGCAGATTTTCACCCTACTGATACAAATATAATAGTTACTTGTGGAAAATCACACCTTTATTTTTGGACACTAGAAGGGAATTCCCTTATTAAAAAGCAAGGATTATTTGAGGTAAAATATTTCCTTAATTTTATGTTCGTAGTAATGGTACAGTCATATAAAAGTAAGGGTTAGTAAAGTTTGAGTAAAACAAAACAACTGGTCATTATTAAATTTTATGTTTTGCAGAAGCTCAGGTAGCATTCGTGGTATGGCACAGAGAACTTTTCCATGGGTAAAACTTCCAAAATGAAGTTTTGAAATGCAATTACCATTTTGTTCCTTGCATTCTTTTTCCTATATTCTTTATGCTACGCCCCAACCTGTAAAATAAAATTACCTTAAAACTCTCTATGCTTACCCCAGGTGAAAAAAAATATAGATAGTGATATATGCAGGGGTTTTTTTTTCATTTATTTTGTCAGAGGAAAGACTTCCAAAACCCCATAGATTACATAAATATGAGTATTCTTTCCTTTTCCTCTGTTCTGCTCAGATACATACACATGTGTAATTCAAATACAGATTGGCCTAGCCACTTTTTGGTAAATATAATTTTCATTTCAAAGTCTTGATTTGGTTTTGTCCTTCAATATAGGCTAAGCTCTGCAGCAGTTTAATGCACAAATAAGTACTGTTTGAGGTGACTGCAGATAACTCCAGTAGGGCCTAATTAACTGTTTGTGGAGTTGTGGCTCACAAGTGTAGTCAAAACAACTGTTTTGCAATGTCAGTTAATAAACTTTGTGTGAAATCAGGAAGAGATGTTGAGATAATGCATTTAAAGTTTGTTACATTTTATTTTTCATTCATTTTTAACTCCTAAGCTACTTGGGCAGATTTCTGCCTCTGTTATGACTCTGTTATCCTTGGTGGTTTTTGCAGATGGAGAAGTGTGGTGGCCCTAGCTGAAAACAGTTGTTAGTTTGAGGGAGAAAGAGGCCATACACATTGGTAGTCCACAAAAATTGTGAATAATGTCCTTAGCTACTAGCTAGTGAATTTTTTTGTTCCCTTACACATTTCACTGTTTTGTTGCTGTCAGTATCTTAAATGCAGGGCCTCAAAGCAACATTTCTGTTACTGAACCTTAGGATTCTTTCAAGAGATGATTTCTTAATTCTTATACTGCAACCGAACTTTCTAGAAATATTTTTCTCCTAGAAACTTTGGAGTTAAAAATTACAGTAATAAAGCTTGTTTGCATCTTTGGCCATTTCTAATACCTGAAGCCCTTGGGACTATGTGGGAGTTGGGGAATTCTGTTTGTCTCGGAGCGTTCCTGGTCTCGTGGTAGGAGCTGGCAGGCCTTCTCCCTTGCTCTCTCCACCTCTTGTGGTTAAAGGCTGCAGGACTGTGCCACCAACCTCATCTTTTGCCCTTTCACAGATTAACTGTTTACACTGTAGGGCTGTGTTTAGCTCCTGTTTAGTCTCACACAGCTCTATTATTACCTAAATATCTAAACTAAATTACTCAGATGTGTACAGTTAAAATGACTGGGATGTGTGTTGCTGTGAGTGTGTATTTTTCACAACCATGCAGAAACAAGAGAAGCCAAAGTTTGTCCTGTGTGTGACCTTTTCTGAAAATGGTGATACTATTACAGGAGACTCAAGCGGAAACATTTTGGTTTGGGGAAAAGGTAAGACATTGAAGTTAATAGTGAAATTTTGATGTAAAAGTCTGTGAATTTTTACATGAGTGTAGCCTCCTTTTAAAAAGAATAAATTTTATCTTGAGTTCTTTTCCAAGACCAATCCAGCAGATTATGTCTGAATTTTCCTCTACAAGCACCTAAAGAACATATATACCTGAATGCTAGAGAACAAAATTCTATAGAATGTGTTCCCTATGGTCAGATGTTGAATCATAGAGCTATGCCAGCATGTATGGCTTTTACTCACCTAAGAAATGGCAGGAACAGTTCTTTTCCTTAATCAATGTGATAGTAAGAAACACTGTTGGTGTAACTGATGATCTCCAGTCTCCTATACTGTCCCTCTATAGTGTTAGCAAAAATTATGCCTATTGACATACACATTTAAAAAGACAATAAATAGCTTTATTTATTTTCCTAGGAAGTCAAGCTAAAATATATGCAGATGTAATTGAATTCCTCAGCTTTATTTCAAAAGAACAGGTGGATAAGACAAACTTCTTAAAAAGCATTTTCTAGTAAGAAAAGACTTTTTTTTTTTTTTTCTTAGGCAGCAGAAGGCAATGCCTGCCGGAAGGCAAACAGCAGCAACATATCCTAAACATTTACGTAGTGCATGAGATACCATGCATAGGAATAAGGAGAATCCCCTAAAGGAGGCCTTATTAGTGAAGGAAGAAGGGATATGGGTGGCAGCTGCTTCTTATTTACTCAGTACCTTCTCCCAAGATACTCAAAGGATGTAAGACCCAGGACGCAGTGTGGTGAATCAGTCACACAGCTGAGCCTTACTGATCTGTTTTTGTAGACTTTTTTTCATCCAAGCACATTCAGCCAATTATCTCCTCGTGGTTTTGACTGATACACTGCTGTTGAGGAAAGGGATGGATGCGGTGTTTGTAGCTCAGCTCCTCTTGTATTTCCCTTTTCTTTTTCCTGTGATAATTTAAAAGAAGACATTTGACTGCCAGCAGAGAGGGGAGATAGTGGCGGCTGCTGGCACGGCAGGGTCAGTGCAGTGCTCAGAGGCTCGTTTGCCTTCATGCTGGTTGACTAACTTCTGCCTTGACTGCAAGCAGTCTCTTCTGCCCTTTCTCCCAGGAATGAAAGGCAATTCTTTGTGTGCTGCAAGATCTCCTCACCTCTGCTGGTTCTTCTGGGACAGACAAATATGTTGTTGTTTTTCTGTCTTAGTAAAGCTTACTTTCTATGTCTTTACTACTTTTGACTCAGAGTTCAATGTTCAAGGGAGGGCTGCTTCCCCCATGTCAGAGTACTCTTAGCAAAAATGTCTCTTGACAGAAATCACTTGTAACTGACACATTGTATCCATAGACATGTATAGAAGCAAATGGGATTTATAAAGGAAAAAGCAGTTGCTTCTTCCTAACTTGCATCAGCCCCTCGCTTGTGCTAAAGTTAGCCAAGTTTTGATGCAAGGTGCACATTTCAGTAATAGAATCACGAGTAATTATTTATTTGTACTTCCTAATAGTAATGGTTAATCAAATTAGAGATATTTAATCCAATGTAGTTGGTTAGAAAGTGTTTTGAATCTATGAAGGTACTTTATCAGCAATAAAGATTTACAGACTCCATTTCGGAGAGTGGTTCAGCACCATCTGCCAGCTGTACGAAGACTTCAAGCTTAGTCAGGTTTTGGTGCAAGTTAGGTGTCTGGAGGCTGTGGAATATCCTTGGAAGATAACAAGTGGCTGGGTTATGGTTTCTTTGTTGATAAGGTGCATGGTGCTGCTGCGTGTCAAATATGATGTCAAATGTTTTAGCTTAAACTTCCATGAAAGGTTTAAATGAATGTATTTTACTTTGTGTTTGAACTAGACTGACTATATATACTTCTCATTTTTGAGATGGGGGGATATGTTCTTAAGATGTGCTAATTCAGTCTCTCCCGTGGGTCTGAGCAATAACTCCTGTTATTGTCATTGTTTACAATCCTTAGAATCATAGAATCATTAAGGTTGGAAAAGACCTTTAAGATCATCGAGTCAAACCATCCTTGACAGGTAGTAGAGAGATGGAGGAAAAAAAGCTGAGGGATAAAGGAGCTATTAAGCTGAGTGTTTCAGTACTAATATCTTTTCTCCATCTGTCTAGGTACCAACAGAATAAGCCACGCAGTTCAAGGGGCACATGAGGGTGGAATATTTGCGCTGTGCATGCTGCGAGATGGTACATTGGTATCAGGAGGTGGAAAAGATCGAAAGCTGATATCTTGGAATGGAAATTACCAAAAACTTCACAAAACTGAGGTGATATCGTCTATCTTGAAATTACTCTGCTACTCAAAATGAAATTTTAGCTGTCTTCTGAGTAGAGCTTTTTAAACAATTTTTTTTCTTATGGACGTATATTCTGTGGGAAAGCAAATCAATGGTAAAATGTAATATCATTTGAGTCATCAGATCGTTCCTGTGATAGCCTATTCATTAACATAATGTTTCCTTTTTAAGATCTATGGTTGAAAATTAATTGGAAAACAAATCTTGCATTCACATTTTTTCATATTATTTCTTCCTTTCTTTGCAATTAATAACATTAGGTCATTTTTCACTTCAGAATATTACAATATTAAAATGTTTTTGTACTTTCTTCTTTTCCAAAATGATATGAGGGGTTTTGGGGGGTCTTTAGTACTTGCATTTTTTCATTAATTTCTTGTTTAGAGTTGTTTTTTATTTAAAAAATAAATTCCAAAAATCAGTTCAGTTGCTGTGTAGGAACTTAAAATACAAAAGCAGAATTTGTTTGGACAGAACTACGTGATTTTTTTACATGCTGAGTGTAAGAGAACAATCAGCATAACACTCTGAGGAAGGGTTTCAATTCTACTATATATTGTTAAATGCTGTAAACATATGCAACTGGAATGGCGTGTCTGTTTTGGTAATTCAGTTTTTAACACAGCATAAGGTACATGCTAGTTGTGCTTTTTCTAACTGTGGCATCCTTCTTTTTCTCTTATTTGTTCATACAAGTGTTACTTGTTATTTTAAATTTTACTTCTTCCCTTGAACTATATATTGAAGATTTCCATTGACACTTTTCAGAGCCTAGGCTGCAGTTAAAGAAACATTCTCTGCAAGAAAGTACTAGTGATACAAAGCCTGACACTATCTCTGAGTAGAAATGATTAGTCTGATATCACAGCTGCAATTAAAATATAATCGAGTTAACACAGCATGATGGAACCTTCTCTGTTTGTTGAAATACTTGGTTTATATGTACAAACGGAGTGTTCGGTAGCTAAGGGTGTCTTTTCTTGTAGCATTATAAAGACAGTTGCTGAGCTGATGCAAGGTGTTATAAGCTTTTGGAAGTCAGGCGTGTATATTCATTTAATTTCTTCTCTGTGCAACATTTATTAAAATGCATTTGCTAGGCCATATGTCTTAAAAATTAGCAATGCTGGACAGATTGTCTGATTTATCTGTTTGCTTGTTATGACTGCAGATTCCAGAGCAATTTGGTCCAATAAGAACAGTAGCAGAGGGAAAAGGGGACGTTGTACTAATAGGAACTACTAGAAACTTCGTCCTACAGGGCACACTATCAGGAGATTTTTTCCCAATTACCCAGGTAAGTTGTTGCCTTACAAGGACATTTCTAATGGTGTAACAGCAGTAAAGGTATTGCTTAAAGTTAAGCTTAATAAATATGCATTTATTTGATGTATTATTACAGTACTTTTGGCAATAAATAACATTAGACATAGTAATCTACCGAAGCCATTGTATTTCTGTAATGCTTTAATATATAGTTTGGTCATTTTAATCCTGATTAAACATATTTAGTTTTGATGGTACTGTCCTTCTTGTCAAGAAACATTTCTGCTTGTGTAGGGTCACACTGATGAGCTTTGGGGACTTGCAGTCCATTCCTCTAAACCTCAGTTCTTCACTTGTGGACATGACAAACACATTACCCTCTGGGATGCTACCACTCATCGTCCTATCTGGAACAAGATTATAGAGGTATAAATTTATTAACACAGCTCTACTCCTCTTACAAAACTTCTCAAGCAATTTGAGTTTTTCATAACATTATTGATTAAAAATATCTTAAAGTATTAACTGGAGGAAAAAATGAGAGAGTAATAAAAATTGTCTTTCTGAAAATGGACGTAAAACTCTTGAAAACAAGAACTTAAAAGCCTAGGTTATATGGACCTATATGCTACATCATATAGAAGTGTACAGTGCTGTTGACACATTTTTTTGCTAGGAAGAGAACCACAAATACAAAGCTAGGAAATATTTATAATTTAAAAGTAGTTCTGTTCAGGATTACTACTACTGTTCTGATCATGATAGTCATGATAGTCAGAATTGAGAAGGAAAAGTTTTTTTTGGTACATTTTTTGGCCTTCTTGGTTTATTTCCTGTAGTTTAATTGTATTTTTATACATCCTGTTCACAAATAAACAAATGTGGGTTTTAGAATTCACTTCCTATCTTGACTATGAAACTTGGTGTCTGGGTACGGGAGGAATGCTTAGTGGAAGCTCAGTTTTATTCTGTACTTAAGTATTCAGTCGTGCATCCACAGACATCTAACAGCTTTGTGGTGACATGGGATCTTGATTACTCCATGCATCACTAGGAACTGATCTTTAGAGTACGTTTTTTGGACACCTGATCACCTTTCTAATTGTTTATCCATAAGAAGACATTGGCTTATCTGCTAGAGACAGCAGTGATGCTTTTATCTCTCTATTTTGAGATGCCACTATCACATTTTTTTCAGTCAGTCTTCACTTTACATTTTTTAATAGGTGTGTGAGTATGCTTTTTTTGGAGATACATGTACAGATCACAATAGCCAAGTTATTTCTCAGTCTTTTTTGTCTGCCCTCTGTACAGTGGAAAAGTTCAAATATTCCTTCAGGAAAAAGAAGACAGCACCTGGTGTATATATATATCAAATACCCAGGTTTGCAAATGAAATTGTAGCCAGTAACTTATAGATGACCTTCATATTTCTGACTAAAGTGTTTTCTGTGCGATATAGTAAATAATCCTTTATTAGTTTACATGAAGTTTTGGAAATTTTAATTGTGCAACTTTTTTCTTAAAAAGATTGTTCATTTTCAGGCCTACATAACACTTTAAGTTGGAGCTAGCATTGATAAGACTTCTTGAATACAACACATCTGCAATAAGTGTATGCTGCTGCATCAGGCTGAAGCTAACAGAACAGCATTTAGCAAATGGTCTATCGTTGTGTCCCGCTTCAGTTGTATGCACCTCTCAAATCACGCTTGCTTTTGGTGAATGTGGAAATTGGCATTTATTCTGTCTAACCAAGGTCATGCGTGCTAAGGTCCATATTTTTGTTGTCTTCTAAATTAATTGGAGACGCCAAATCAACAGTTCCACTTCCTCAGAGATGGAGCTGTATTTTCACAGTTCAGTGCCTCAGTTATAAAGACACTTTGGCCTGTAGGATAAGAAATTAAAAAAAGGAAAATAAAAGTAGTTCTTTTAATCTTAAAGTATCTTGAAATCAATAATGCTAAGGGTTTGGCCTGAGAAGGAGGCAGATAATTGCATTTTCCTACCTTCTAATGATTTTAGAGTTAAGATATATTATTATGATTTGGATTTAAAAATAAACTCTCTCCCCTTCAGCCTTTAGGAATACTGTACTTAGGCCTCAGGGGAATGGTCAAACCTGAAGATGCACCAAAATCCTAATGTGCTTGCAGATCTCTTGAACTGCTACCAAGATGCCAAATGCAAGATCAGATAAATACCAGCACACTTAGGCTACGAACTTCAACAATAAAACTTATTATTAAAAATTAGTGAGCCGTTATAAACCAAATTTTCATGGATCTGTCTTGGTAGACTCTAAGGAAAGATAAACCTGTGTCTTTTTTTTGTTTTGAAATACAATAATAGCAGTGTACTGTATTGTACAGTATGGAATTGTCCTGGGTTTGGCCAGGACAGGGTTAATTTTCACCGGACTCCAGGAAGGGGCACAG